CTGCTGATGGAGAGTCAGAGGTCTGCTTTCACTCAGCCTGGGGAGAGTATGAAAGCTCTTAGTTTAATACAGGGGCTGTTGGTAGCTTCAGAGCTCAGTGGTTTTCAAACAGGGAACAAGAAGCTCCCAGAGGGCCTTTGTAGAGCCCCAGTGGGTCGTCAGCAAAGTGACACACAGTTTAATGTCACTCCAAGTTAGCGCTTAGATCTACCATGCAGTCAGCGTTAGCTTAGCATCACAAGCGCTCAGGCAGAAACGACCTGCTGTGGGAAATGTCCATTTGAGGTGAGTAGAGAAGAACTGCTAATCAGCCAGAACGTTTTAGTCGTGTTGAGCCTTCGTAGTGCTGAAACTGTTGTTTAATGGATTAGACAATGCAAAAGTTAGCTGCAGTGTTTCAAACATGAGTATTTGATGCAAGTTTGTCTTTAGCCAGCCAATGAGAACTTCTTGTAGGCTTTATAGATTTATAAAATTCATTTGTTTGACAAAAAAATTCATATTGCATCATCAGAGAAATACATGTAAATAAGCTGAATAGCTGAAGTCTCCTTTGTCAGCTTGTGATACTGAAATAAATTCACATGTAGAGTGAAGCAGCTAATGCAGACGTTACAGGCATGTTCAGCTTCTTCTGCTCGATTTGTTGACTCAGTGGTGAAAGATATTGATCTCGCTTTTCTTGGTGACAGTGATGGCTTTTCACTGTATCAGCCGGCTACACAGGGCGTCCCAGATGGCCCTCTTACCAGTTCCTCCTGGGGAATCTGAAGGTGTTCCCTGGCTAGATGAGGTGTGCACTTAGTTGGATGTGCCCAGAACATCTCCAAAGGAGGCGCCCAGAAGGCCCCCTAAATAGACCCAAACCACCTCCACCGGATCCTTCCAGTGTGACAGAGGAGTGACTCTACTCCAAGCTCCCTCAAGATGGCTTCTCATTGTATCACCAAGGCTGAGCCAAGCCACCCAACAGAGGAAGCTCACGTTGCCTTGTTGTACCCATACTGTCATTCTTTCAGTCACTTCCCAGAACTAATGACTGTAGATCAGGAGTTGAAATGTAGATCGACTGGTAAATCCAGAGCTTTGCCTTCTGGCTCAGCTCCTTTTTTTTACCAGGATGGTCTGGAACATCCACATACTGTTGACGCTGCACCAATCTATGTCCAATTCCATTATCTCTTCACTCATGAACAAAATCCAGAGATACTTGGGATAACTGGTTTGTCTTTGGCAGCAACTTATTTCAAATCACATTTCAAAGTAACTAAGTAAATGACTTATTGCATCATTATATTTTCCCCCTAATGGTTGAAACTACACTCTTCCACATGAATCAATTACTGGCCCCTCACCACTGTGTCGCCCTCTATTTAATACTCAGGCCTTACAGGGGAGGTAACTATCAATCATGTCACCAGGTACTGCTCACTGTCTGATCATATCAGCTCACTGTGATAACATTAGATTATAGAAGTGTTGTCAAACTGAATGCTGACAATAACAGTGCTATTTGTCTTTACTTACATCATTTTGTGTATTTTCTGTCCAGACCTACTTGGGGTTTTTGTTTCAACTTACTTTAAGAAGGCTTCTTTCAAAACCCCACAAAAAAAATCATTTCTCACCTACCTTTAGTGAAGATTGATTTTAGTTCATGGTTCTATTTGCAATCATTCATAAGATGTATGCCTCAATCCTAAAACAATTGGAGGTGAATGAAACAGCATAAAAATGTAAATGGAAAGGTTCTTTCCAGAGACAGTATCTCTCTCCTGCTACATACACATCTTTAATGGCACTATTTTAGCAGAATGCACTCAGACTGAAACTCCAAAATCTGCAGATTGTCCAAAGTAATCACTTCTTCTGAAAAGATACGGTTAATTTTTTATATGTAATTTTTCAGTACAGTGAGCACCACAAATGAAATTTCATCCATCTCCACTGCATTGGGGTGAAAGCAGAAATATTTTAAATCAGCCTTACACTTTATTTTATCTTTGCAGCACTTCCCAAAAAGTATTCTGAAAACTTCTCCTGCTTCTTCTTCTTCTGAATTCAACAGCTGACTGTTGTTACCTTGGATATGAACGTGCCCCTCTAGATTAAACGGCTAAACACATTTTCTTGTTACAAAACGGTGGATCAAGGATTTTTTTCAGGTGAAATACAAAGAATAGAATATGATCTATGAATATGTTTTAGGTTTGCATGTGCAAGGCCATAAAGAAAGAAAAATGAAACCATTGCATTGACAGTTTAAAAAATAAACGCCAACCCATACAGCAGGACACGGACTGCCAGTACCAGCTGCTTCAACTCATTACAGAGATGAACTTTAATGATCACTCTGAGCTCAGACAGAGCAGAAACTGAAGGTCTGCTCACTAATTCATCATCGCCATTTGTGTTGACGTCAGCCCGAGATCCGCAGACAGCTGCTAGCTAACGTTAGCCGCACGGCAGAGACAGAATCCACGACCTCCACAGCTTCATTTCTCATACACAGAGATAACATCAACAAACCCAAACAGAACTCATGTCTGCGCCTCTCGTAGAGACAATCTCTAGATCAGCTAGCAGACGGAGTCAGCCAACAATCCTAAATTACAACAGTCCACTAAACTGTAAACTATTTATGCAATAGTTGGCAAGACTGTCGTGATTTAAAGTGATATCCAGCTATTGTCCACATTGTCTGAACCTAAAAAGACCCTGGTGTACTCATTATAATTCCATTTCCACAAAGCAAACTGAAACACTTACAACATATAACGATGCGTAAACATTGCTGATAGCACTGGTGGGGTTTTGGGGGGTTTTCTTTGGAGAAAAAGCACAAAGGCAAGGATCAATGTAGAAACTTGATGAACAGATATTGGATCATTCAAATAAAGATCATAATTAATGAGAAACATAAATGCTTTTTATCCAGCCCTACCATCGAGATACCATCAGACATTTATCTATTATAACAAATAGAAGTTTGACCCCAGTTACTACACAGCATATATCATTTGGTGACATGTTTGAATCCACCTGATGAATCAAAGTCCAATATTTACTTTCTGTCTTTACCAGCTCCTCAGGGAAATAACTCCTAGTTTGGGTTTGAAGTACATCTTTTGTGACACCAGTCCTGAAACTTTTCTGACACACCTCGTACGACATGCGTCTCTTCTGTATGTTCACTAGCAGGTTTGTATCTGTGTCTGTCTGCTGTTCTCTACTTGGAAGGTAGTGTACCGTGGCTTCTTTTAGAGCTCTGAAAACAGCTGCCTGCTGCTGCCAAAAACAACACCCTGAGAACACTGACGGTGAACCAGAACAGGAAAGTTGCAGACTGGGCAGCTAAACAACAAGCTGGAACTCACTATAAAGATCTGTACAGCTGACAGTTCTCTGTAGGCTTATCACTGCACACAAATCAATAATTACAGCTGTCTGATAGCAACAAGAAAATATTTGGGGTTCTTGGTAATTAGTTTACCAAAGCCTTTTGATTTCCTCTTCTACACTCTCAGGTTTAAATAGTGATTTGTTTCTATTTAACCTCTGGACGCTGTTACTACCAACCTCTGACAAACTCAATAGTTTGCATCCATTGATGGAGACTTAAGATCTGAAGGTTCAACAGTGGCACCCATTACCAATCACTTTAGATAACAGCAGGAGCTAAGAGCATAAAATGTTAATGGAAATATAGACGTCGTCTCCGCTACAGTTTTTACATAATGGGAGGCACAGAGCTCTTCCCCTGAGACCTCGCTCCCCCTCAGAGAACGAGGCATGGAGCTACAAGCAAATAAGTCAGTCCAGCGGCTCAGTCTTCAAACACACTGAGACAAAAGCAATCTCACTGTCCCTTCTTAAGTCTTTAAAGAATAAAGACAAGTGGGAGACTCTTGAGACGTTTCCATGGATACACTGGTGGCTGTCGGCGTGCTTTGAAATGTCAAACCATCATATTAGCAGGTCGGACTTGCTGCTTAATATTAGGTCGCAGTTACAGGCCTGGTGAACGCACAGAGGTCGACGGCGGAGCTCCACTTGTATCTGGCAAGTTCACAGAGGATTGACTCTTCAGAGTCTTGCTTACAAACACCCATTACTGCGAGTTTGTTGGACACAATGGCTCTACGTCAGCTCAAGGCTGTTCTGCATTGTCAATATCTCCTGTGAACAGTGGGTTCAGCTGTTTTTTTTCTTCTTGAACTTGGCTCTCAAAAATGCAGTGTTGATAAAATTCTTTTGGCATCGCCTGACTCGAGAGGCTCTCTCGAGGAGAAGGAGAAAAACAAGTGAGCATGACCGACCCTGCTGAGTGGGAGGGAGGCTCAGCAGGAGGGGTGAAGGGGGGAAAATCATCTGTATCCTTTTCCTTTTTTGCACATTTCCATTTCGAAGGACCCCTGGTGGCTTGACACTCAGCTGTGCCTTTCACAGGAAGCAGGCCAGCCAAATGCAGCTCTCGCCTGGCCTGCGACTCAGGCGGTGACCAAAGCTACTGAGAGACGTTTGAATACGTGGCAGACAGGAAGCTGGTGGGATGCAGTATTGATTATGGTGGTTCAGAAGTGACTGTGGCAACGAGTCAATAGGGCAGACTGTTTGCACCTGAAGCCTCGCACAAAGGCTGGTTCTCTGAGCGCAAAACGGTGAAATAAAAATGTGCATGAGACACAGAAAGAGAGTCTGTGGGGGGGAGAGAAAGCTGGAGAAATAAACAGACACAAAGCTAGAGAGAGTGACAGATTGATAATCTCAGTATGGTTATGCATGAACTGCTGTTTATATGAACGGTGAAATTTTCATACTGCTTTGGCAACACTGCAGTGTCACAGGGAGACTAAAACTGCAGCTTATCAGGCTGCAGCGAAGGGAGGAAGAAACCAAACGCTGTCACCGAGCCAAAACAGAAAAGAAGCAAAAGAAGACGAGGAGCAGAGCGACGGCAGTGCAGAGGCTGGTGTGGTGAAAACAACGGGGATATTTACCTGGAAGGCCTGCCAGAGCTGATCGGCCAGAGTGCTGATCTCCGACAGGATGTGACGAATGAGAAAGGACTTTGACATGCTGCTGCTCCCCAGCGCGATCAGGCACTCCATCAGCTTCTCTGCAGCCTGGAGCTAAGGTTTGGCAAAACAAGATTTTACTGACAGTGTTTCCTTAAAACTTTCTTTATAACTCAATAACATCGAGCATATGAAATCCGTCACTCCACTGATTCCAACTCTATCAATCATAAAGTGGCTACAAAGAACATGTGCTGACAGTTAAGTGTCACACAGATCACAGGTTGTAACCAGGCGTTCTGCAGTTTGTCTGTTTAAGACTTTTTTAATACCACTAATGCAATTTACAATACAACACACACTTCTCAAGATATGACAGATTTTATAACATTCAACAAGCAGCATCAAAGGGATAGTTGGATAAATTCATGGTAAATGGGTCATTAATTTAGGTTAAATAAGTTTTCGCTAAAATGAACTCTTCCTAGGGCTGCAAGGTGGCTTGGTGGTTAGCATCGTTGCCTCGCAGCAAGAAGGTCGCCGGTTCGTGTCCCGGTGAGGACATCTGGGATCTTTCTGCGTGGAGTTTGCATGTTCTCCCCGTGCAGTGTGGGTTCTCTCCGGCTTCCTCCCACACAGTCCAAAAACATGTTGAGGTTAATTGGTGATTCTAAATTGTCTGTAGGTGTGAATGTGAGTCTCTAAGTGTAGCCCTGTGATAGACTGGTGACCTGTCCAGGGTGTCTCCTGCCTTCACCCTGAGTCAGCTGGGATAGACTCCAGCCCCCCATGACCCTAGTGAGGATTAAGCGGTGTATAGATAATGGATGGATGGATAAACTCTTCCTAGCTACTGCAGCTATAGTAGTCACAGTGTTTGACTGAAAAGGATTCAACACACTGTCACAATAATCTTGTTTCTAGTTCAGAGGTGTATAACATCTCCAAACAGCCTGTAGTCATTCATAGACATAATTAATAGAAACTGCAAAACATAAACTCTAAATAAAGATTTTTTGGAGACTCTGAGTGCCGTTGATAGCTGTGTCAGTATGTATGAACAACTACAGGGTTCAGTGTGATATATCCCAAAGTTCAGTCAATAGTCTCAAGTTTAAACGCCTTACCAACGAACAGTCAGAAAACCCAAAGATAATCAGTTTAGTATCACATCCAGCAAAGACGAGCAGTTAGTTCTCATGTTTTAAAAGCTTAAGCAACAAATTTATGGCGTTTCAGAAATGACTGAAACAACTGCTTGTTTCTTAGAATCATTTTCTGTTGACTCGGGCTGCAACTAAAGATTTCATATGTGAATTATTTATTCACTGAACTGAGTAGTCTGTTGGTTTATAAAATGTCAGAAAATGGTGAAAAATGTCAATCTGTGTTTCCCGAAGCCCAAGAAGACATCCTCAAATGTCTTGTTTTGTCCACCACCCAAAGATGTCCAGTTCACTGTGACAAAGGACGAAATAAACCAGAAAATGTTAAAATCCAAGAAGCTGGAATCAGTGAATTTAGACTTTCGTTTAAAAAAAAATACTCAGACCAATTCATCAATTATCAAAACAGTTCTTGACTCATTTAACAGTTGAAAACTAATTGATTAATTGCTGCAGTTTTCCGTTGATTAGGCATGAGATGAATAATCAACACCGTGGACAGAAATCGATGTTAGTTGCCAGAGAATTAAGTGTAGATTAGTTGAAGACATTGTGGTTTTTTTGTGCTGACTCACAAAGCTCTGACATGAAGACATTACCGCTGTAACTGGGCTAAAGTGTGTCACTGCCTGATATGATTATGTAAATCGCAGCCTGTGGACACGTGGACTAACTTTACTGCTGATCTCAAGGAAAACTTATGAATGAAGTGAATTTATTTCGAACAAATAAAAGGGGAAAAAAATGTAAAAACAAAAGGAAATAATTTTAAAAAGAGCTTTAATAAAGGGCAAAAAAGAAAAATAATATCGCATAATCCAATCATAATATTAATAATAACAAAAAAGGAGTGGGAAAAAGTATACACTTTTAATTTTGACAGTCCTAATGCAGTTTTGTTTTTTTTTTTGATAAATGTAGGCTTTATTTTTATTTTTATTTTCCAATGATCTGGCGACCCCCTGAAATTGCCTTGGGACCTCCATGGGGGTCCCAACCCCCAGTTTGAGAACCACTGGTCTAGATTGTTAGCTAGCATGTACCTAAAACAACTTCAACTTCAAGCTCAAATTAAACACTGAAAGGTAAATAAGAACTATTTAGTAATGGTGCTTTCCAGTATATAGTTGCAGCCCTATCGATGATTGATTGATAATTTCAGCTGTAGCCACAAAGGTTGTTTTCAAAGATTTTTTTTTTTCTAAAAGCCCCGAGTGAAATCTTTAGAAACCCTGTTTTTAAAACAGCCAGAGGGAACATTTTGTGTTGATAATGTAGCTTCAAACAAACCCTGTTTTGTTGTCTCACTATAGGGGAGATAAATCTGGTGAACGCATATGGAGTGTGGTTGGAAATCAGTTCTTTAAGCCTGGAGCAAGGGTAAGTACTGCTCCTGTTATTTTTCTGATTAATCACTGGATTTCTAGAGATAAGGATCCCACCTTCTTGTGTTTTTTTTTTTTTTGTTATTATTATGTGAGCCACAAACCACCTCCTCCACACACCAACACACTCTCTGTCTGCTGCTCCTGAGCCTCCAGACGCCTCACACTTAGAAGAAGCACAAAACCCTGTCTGGAGCTCATTAAGAAAATCTTAATTCTGCTGCTGATTCAACTAAAATAGGCACACAGGCAAAATCTAATTAACTCAGAAATAGTCCCAATGCTGTTGGGTTGAAAAAAAATATCGTAAAATGTTGACACAGGATGACGAGGAGTCAGAAAAATATTTTTAGTCTTGAAAATCTTGCCGATCATGATTTATAGCACCGAGGTCAATTCCTGGCACAAAATGCAACTGGAGCAAAATCATGCAGTGTTGTAAAATTTAGTATTTGTCAATGGAGAAAAAAAAAAAACACGGAATGGGAAAGTAGGAGTCCAACATCCACTGAGAATGAACTTGTGCACTTCTAAGAACTGCAGGGAAGCTCTCAGTCCAGTTACAACAGAGCCAGACTGCTCTTATCAACAAGCCCTCAACAGCTTATTTCTGCAGCACCTACCGGAAGGCTGCAGGACTGTTTTCTCAATCCCAGCCCTGCCTGCTCTCACTGGATTTCTGACTGTTACCACCTGTACAATATAGACAATCATTTTATGTCTGCTCCCGTCCTGCAGGGACAACACTGTGTTTCACTGTGCAGCCTCGTGTTAGCCTAATAAAGAGACGCATACCTGTCTGTAATAACGTAGGAAAATTACAATAACTGTCATATAAATAACAGATTCTAAGGAAGCAGGTTCACATTTCATACATTTGTAAATAGTATCTTGCTATACGTGCAGGAGGAGGAGCTTTGTCTTTGCAGGAGAGCCTGCTGGATGTCAATATTTTGCACATTTGTAGTCACCAAGTTTGCTTCTTTCCATGTTTAGTCCTATTTAAACAGGATTAGTATTACCTGGGGACCTCATGTTATTGAGATATTTCATGCAGCATATTTGGAAGAGATAAACAAGGTCTGCTTGAATTTCCTAACATTATCCACAGATACGTTATTAATAGGCTGCCAGCTAATAATTGTTCAGCTTGTTGAGAGACAGCAAAATGCTACTTGCCACATGCTGCCATGCATGACATCCAACTAATCATCCTTTGAGAGTTTGCTCTCCTAATGGACTTGAGCTTTCTGTGAATGTGTCCGCTGTGCGGGGACATGAGCCTCCTGAATTTGCACCCAGAATGCTGCCCAAACTTCCATTCATTATTGCCAAGGCAGCCTCCACAATACTCAGGCGTGAGAGAGGAAGAGAAAACCAAAAACCCTTCCAGAGGAAAGAAAGACTCCAAATCACAGAGATGCCGAATCGTACTTGTCTAAATATGGTAGATAATTTACGGTGGAATTTTTATTTTACAAACAACAGACGTCCACAGAGAAGGCCACAGACGACCACTGCGATTATCACAACATACCAGAAGTCACCAGGTGATACAGGTTCCAGGGATTTTGTCATTAACATCCTAGAAATGCAGCCAAATGTCAGGCTTGTCTTGCTTGAATTTTGTATTATAACACTCTGCTTTAGTCTTCTTTGTACCTGCATTTGTTGCCTCCACCATTCTGCTTTCTGACATACATTAACCACCTGCTTGCACACAGCAAAGTTAAATCCACCTGCTCCTGCCAGATGTGCAACTGGGTCGCACGTAATCCTCATTTTCGGAATTGTTTGGCGACTCAGTTTCACATTTCAGACGAGATATATTTCACTTCTGGCATGAAATGTGGGTGTTAACATGTTAGCTAGGTGGCAATATTTAGGAACATTTGCAACAGCAAATTGGTCACAAAAGGGTAAAGGTATTAAATGCTGTAAGTACACTTACAGAAATGGCAGCTCTTGAATCTACAAATGTTAGAATTGTTTAAATAAGTGGGTTTCTACCAAGAGCTACACAGTTTAATGTCGGCTGAAAGTTAAATTGGTAGATTGATGCTGTGGCAAATGAGCAGAGCAGACGTGCTAATTAATAAATTGATTTGGTGATGCTGATTTTTGTGCTTAAGTTGCACGATAGCTAGACATTAACATGCAGGCACTTAAAAGCAGTGATGAAAAACTCTTCTTCATGGGGCCACAAACTGATTTTTCATGATGGAATAAAAGGCGAAGCATTTTTAAAGACCTTCCAAAGAACAGCCGACAACTGTGTCCTTCGTGCTGCATGAATATCAAATGCATCTGATTCACCAAACAGGGTCTGTAGAGAATCAGCAACTCTCAAACACACAGGGAACATTTTCACAGCAGTGTGTCACTCACTACTAATTGGTTTGAGCATAACAAATTGAAACAGGCCTGAAATAAAGGGAGTGAAACAAAATAACCGCTCCGTCTGATAATCCAGCCGCCACAACGGTCATTATCATCATTATCGCCATAACTCCCACGACCCCTCTGAAATCAATAAAACACAAGCTCAGATTAATAGTTTAAG